ATGTGTATTATCCCACCAAGTCTCCATGATGCCAACTATGTCATAGTTGTGTTTATTTACTAGCATTTCGAGTTCTTCCTGCTTATTCCCCATACTTCTCACATTAGTATACAGACATTTAAGATACTGATTTGATTCCCTTCCCTCCCCCCCCCAGTTCTGAATTGTCTCTCCCTTATTTCTGCTATAACAGCCCATGCTCCCCCCCCCCCAGATTCCGACCCTTTTCCCAGGTCTCCATGTTTTTGACTTATTTGTGGGCTTTGGTCACCTGCCCCGCTGAACCTAATTTAAAGCCCTCCTCATGAGGTTAGCCAATCTGTAGCCAAATATGCTCTTTCCCTTCCTCAACAGGTGGACCCCATCTCTGTTTAGCAGTCCTTCTTCCTGGAACAGCATCCCATGGTCAAGGAAGCTGAAGTTTTCCTGGTGACACCATCCTTGCAGCCAGGCATTCACCTCCAGGATGCATCTGTCTCTGCCTGGGCCCCTACTAGGGTGACCAGACAGCAAGTGTGAAAAATCGGGACGGGGGTGGGGAATAATAGGAGCCTATATAAGAAAAAGACCCCAAAATCGGGACTGACTCTATAAAATCAGGACATCTGGTCACCTAGCCCCTACCCTTGACTGGAAGGACTGAAGAGAACACCACCTGTGCTCCCAACTCCTTCATCCTTACTCCCAGAGCCCTGTAGTCACTTCTGATCTGCTGAGGGTCATACCTCGCAGTATCATTAGTGCCCACATGGATGAGCAGCATGGGATAGTAGTCAGAGGGCCGGATGATCCTCAACAATCCCTCCATAACGTCTCAGAACAGGCCCCTGGCAGACAGCATACCTCCCGGGATGCTATGTCAGGGCAACAGATGGGTGCCTCCATCCCCCTCAGAAGAGTCTCCAACCACCCCTACCCTACGTTTCCTCCTGGGAACGGTGGCTGTGATCCTCCCAGCCTTGGGGGTACATGGCTTCTCCTCTTCAACCTTTGGGGATGATTCCTCATCACTCGTTGCGAGGGCAGCATAACGGTTCTCCATCACCATAATGGGTGGGTTGGGAGTAGGGGTGGAGCACAGCCTGCTGTCAGAAGTAACCAGCAGACTCCTTGTATCAGAATCTTATCCTCCTCCGGGGGCATGACAACAGTCCTGTCTAGCTGGAAAGCGTCCTCAGCCTTAGAAGTCTCCATATGAATCAGTGGATTCCTCCTGTGCACGGATGCTCCTCAGTCTAGCCACCTCCTCCTTCTGTAGCTCTTCCACCTGCTTCCTGAGAGATTCCACCAGCGGGCACCTTTCACACTGGATGGTCCCCCCAACCTGGTTTTCTGAGAGTGGGAAATGCAGGCCACAGTTTCTGCAAATCCACACCAGGATCTGGGTAGAGGCATTCATGGTTAGGTTCTCTGTCTGGATACAGGCACAGGTGGAGGAGATAGGAGCAGTGTTGGCACTGGCGATTTGGCCCTTCCAAACCATAGTGATGTTATCTTGTCTCCCTCCTACAAGCTCCCTCTCTCAAACACCCCTGTTTGTTTGCGGTCCCCTATTCACTAGTTCCCCTTGGTCACTTAGCCTCTGGCTTTTAAGGCCTTCCCTCCTAGGTCAGCCCTACCCCTTCATTAATCACACAGTGGGAGGGTGATCACAAGGCTGATTGAGGCTGATCAAGGATGATCAAGGGAACAAAGGCTCAAACTGACCCCAAACACACAATCCCAATTGACCTTGTAACTGAAATAACCTGAAAGACAAAGAAAAACACAAACAGCCAAACAAACTCACTCACCCCAAGGTTAGTACTCGCACCTTGTTCCTTTGCCCTCTCTCCCCTGTTTGCAGTCCCCTGTTCACTATCTTGAACACAGAATCTGGGTGGCCAACTCTCTGTTGGGCAGGGGCTGCACGACACCCCATAGCCTGCCACAGAGTCACTGCCAGGTCGGCCTGCACTGCCCAACGGGAGAGACCCTCCAGGGGGAAGGAATAGGGATCCTCCCAATCCCACCCCAAAATCATGGGGAGACCAGAGGCCAATAAAGCTTCCTCCCTGCCCCTTTCCCTGGGGGGAAGCCATGGCCCTTCGCACAGGAGAGGGGGGCTGCATGGAGCTGTATGAGATAGCGGTCTTAAGCAGGGAGCCAGCAGTGCTTCCCACTGGCAGGATGGATGAGGAGGTGTCTGCTCAGTGGGCAACACCGGTAGTAGATACATGTAGGGTTCAGTGCAGCTTTGAGCCATTTCAGACACTGTGCCCTCTGCAGCAGTCATCTGGCCTTCACTTCACAACAGCGCTATCTAGGTCCTGACACATGACCGCATCCCCTACCAACAGCATGTCCCAGATCCCCTCACCCCACTCCATCACCACACAGTGCAGCTCATTCCAGGAAGACAGAGAGATTCATAAGCAAAGGAGAACACATTTAGTGGGCAGATGAGGGAGGCTGCTCCATCCAGTGTAGGAGGAAGCCCTCACCCGCCCACTCTCAGTTAGGAGGTGGCCAGTGTCAGTAAGCAGAGGTTAGCGACCTGGATTTTATTCAGACTGGTACCTTTAACTGTATTTCCCTGACAGAGGGCTGCTGTAACAGGAGAGGGCAGCAGACCAGGACCCACCTTAGGTCTGTCTCTGCCATCCCCCTTTGTGGGACACATTTTACCCTCCCCCAAGTAGGAGGGGTGAAAGGTCTGGCTTGGAGGATTTCAGCCTGGCTGCTTCAGGCTCCAGCCACCCCAGTAGGAAGATTCTTTCACAGAACTTCCAGGCCTGATTTGTCATTAGGGTGGTGGTGGTGGTTGGTTTAAAAATAAGGATTTGGTAAGACAATGTGTGTGGGGTACCAGTGGTGCCACTTTACAGCACTCAGGATGAGAGAGAGATGGGCAAAGGGGAGGCACTGCCAGAGGATAGACCAGTGGTTCTCAAACTGGGACTGCCGCTTGTGTAGGGAAAGCCCCTGGCGGGCCGGGCCGGTTTGTTTACCTGCCGGGTCCGCAGGCTCAGCCGATCGCGGCTCCCACTGGCCGCAGTTCGCTGCTCCAGGCCAATGGGGGCTGCGGGAAGCGCCGGCCAGCAAATCTCTTGTCCCGCGCTGCTTCCCGCAGCCCCCATTGGCTTGGAGCGGCGAACCGTGGCCAGTGGGAGCTGCGATCGGCCGAACCTGCGGACCCAGCAGGTAAACAAACCGCCCCGCCAGGGGCTTTCCCTACACAAGCGGCAGCCCCAGTTTGAGAACCACTGGGATAGATAATTTCTCACATCACCTGTCTCTGTGGCTGCTCAGTACCTGAGCTGGGGATGTGGCGTGGATGTGCACATAAGCGCCAACTTCTCCTGGCGCCGGTGGGTGCTCGACCCCCCCGCCCCGCCCCCATTCCAACCCTTTCCCCAAAGTCCTCGCCCCAACTCCGCCCACTCCCTGCCCCTATTGGACTCCTTCCCCAAATCCCCGCTCTGTCCCCGCCTCTTCCCTGCCTCCATCCCTGAGTGTGCCGTGTTCCTGCTCCTCCCTCCCACAGCTTGTTACACTGCGATACAGCTGTTTTGCAGCAGCAAGCGCTGGGAGGAGAAGCGGGGACGCGACGCGCTCA